TGTGTGTGTGTGTGTGTGTGTGTGTGTGTGTGTGTGACTGTGGGTGTGTACCAATATAAGTTTTTATAAGTATTAGTTTAGTAATTTTTCTAGTTTTACTCCTCGTTTTTTGGTTTTATTTTTTGTTTATTACAGGCAGCATAATATGAGATCTTATACATTGCAATTTTATGAGTTTCACATTAGAAAATTTGACTTATCGAAAAGTTTCAATAGCAATTGGTTTTATGTAGGGATAATACCAAAAACTCTATTAATAATAAACTACTATATGGAAAGAATGTATCTATTACATACCAGACTAAAAAAAATACTTTTTCCCGAGGTACGCAAAGCCTGTAAAGCTAATAATACCTCTTTTTACCCGGCAATCATTTTAACTCAACCAATCCAACCAATGAAACGGTAACAAATCCGCATTGTAAATAGGAAAGAAAGTGCTCAATGAAGCAAGTGACAATTGTTTAGCTGGACAAGTTACGTCACAATGACATAAGTACGCCATGGACAATAGGTAGTATGAGATAAAACACGCTTTATATAGAGACAAAATTGGCTAAGTTTTATTTAATGATGACTGAGTTTGGGTAGATTAGGAGCATAAAGGGTGATTATATTGAAGACAAAACTGATTGCATTAGACTAAAGTATTGCATGTTTAGATTAGTTCAATTATTTAACACATTATTTAATATTTCGCTAAGACGATCGTTGAAGAATGATAGCACCCAGGATCGGTTTTTGTCGTAAGTTGCTAAACTTAATAGATTTTGCAATTAGGCAATAATACAATATTATTATACAGAATGACTATATTACAGTAAAATATCTAGTAATTTGTAATAACAGGAACTTACAAATCATGCGTCAAACTTCTGTTTTTGAGTGGCATTCACAATATTTTATTGAAACAATTTTATATTAATTTAATTCTACAATATACTTACTAGAACATTCTTCTTAATTCCAGACACGTTTTAAAATAAGAATTTACATACACGTAAACATAAATTAAAACGAAATACATATTTAAATTTAGAACGTTCGAAATGTCAAACTCAAGTTTGCAACCAGACTCTTTGGTATTACCAAATGAAGATGTCTCAACAGTTTTGTCACCTTTTTGTTTAAAAAATCTAATTACGTACAGAATATTAGACGAAAAATATCTTGTTAAAATGTCAGAACATTTATGTGTTGTGCAAATGTGACCTTTATTTTGAAAGCGATACGGTATGTTGATCAGATTCGAGATATAGGTGCGCAGGGTCATTTTGTTGTCGACTTCGTCACTTTGTGAAGTCAGCGTTTTATAAAATTGTGCCACTGAGTTGAGTACACTGTATATTTAATAAACTTTGAAATAAGCTTAAAAATATTCACTTCACACATTACTGCTAAAAGCCCACTTCATATTTTTAACATTCTAATAAGAAACAGCATCAAATTCATCAATCTAACGCTAACTAGTACCAACCACAAGAATTTTCTAGACTAATTTATTTGATATTCAACTGTCACCAGCAAATAATAATGCAAACCTATATCACTCACACTCAGCTTCCTATCTCGAGATACAAAAGTCTTGTCATATAACAACTCCACAGAAAAGTGAAATGAAGACAAACAAACAGTCACATATAAAATATTAAGGAACGACTGAATTACCTAAACTTCAGAATTTAGTTCAAAAATTCGCTTCACTAAAACATACCTGCTTACCCATTTTCTAACTAGGTTAGTAGTAGCATTTTTTACTGGAACACACATGTGATAGATAAGCTACAGTAATAATCACTCTAATTATGAACTATCTTTAATCAGTAACTGTTGTTAGACGCTGTGGTGTAGACAGAGTGTGTGTGGGTGTGGCTCTTGTTCGGTCAGCTGACAATATTTTTTTTTATGGAATAAGTCGGTAAACGAGCAGACGGATCACCTGATGGTGAGCAATCGGCGTCGCCCATAGACACCTGGCACACCAGTGGCGTGTAACGCCAGTCGCCAACACCAGTGCGGTATCAGCCGTTTTTGTTTAGGAATTTGAGGATTGTTGGGGATTCGGGGGTTGGGGGGGGGGATTTAATTGAGCCTCCAATAAACTCACTCACACAACGAAACACAACGCAAGCGTTGTTTTACGTCGGCCTTCTGTGAGGCCGTGGTATCACTCCGGTCGATTCGCCGAAGTTATTTTTTAAAGTTATAGTTTACGAAAAACAGCTGAATTTTATTGTTTTGCTGATCCTATTGTCGGTAGTCCAAAAATTACACATTTACAGACGTGGCTTTATTGATCACGTGAGATATATAAAATAATAAAAGAACGAATATCGAACTTTAGTATGTATTTCATTGAAACATGTAACGAGTAGAAAATCCATTATTAATTAATTACTCTTCATATTTGAATATCGGCGTAAATCAGAGAATGATTTATATTCAGATCGCGTGTTAGTATCGCTGGTGCCTTATTTATAATTTAAATTTGAATATCATCTCTATATGAATCGAAAATACTAATTTCATATTGAAATATTTCATTAATTACTGTGTAATTGAAAGTGGTGATAATTTAAAGCTTAGTATAATGTATCATAGTATACTAAAGAATCCTACAAAGATGTAAACACAACATTTTATACTTTCATGCAAAATAGGGCAAGATTAATTTCTACATTTATTTAAAATTTTCTAAAAAATTTTAAATACTATTTAAAAAAACCAGTAGCGGGAGAATGGTCCATGCTACCGGTAATTAGGGCTCGAGAGACAGAAACGTCCTCACTATACGAGCCGTTTCTAGGAGAACTGCCTCCTGTATCGGGTGCTTGATCCATCCACCTAACGCCAGCCTCCTAAGATGGATATCGAGGCTTTTAGGGATTAACCTATTGGCCGACACGACTATCGGCACAATGATAGCCGAATCAACACTCCACATGTCGACAACCTCGTGTGCTAAGTCTAGTATATTAATTAAGTATATTTTATTTGTTTATCTTTCTCAGCTTTCACGAGTTTCTCATCATGGGGAATAGTGTTATCATAGTGCAGCTTACTTATCACTAAATAGTATAAAACAAAGTCGCTATCCGCCGTCTGTCTGTCCCTATGTATGCTTACATCTTTATAACTATACCGCCATTTTTGATGCCATGTTTTTTAATAGGTAGAGTGATTCTTAAGAAAGGTTTATATGAATAGTACATGCATATTATACCCGTGCGAAGCCGGGGCTGGTGGCTAGTTTTTATGATAATTATCAAACTTCAATAAACATAAATTGACTTTGACATCAAACTTATACCCTCAAAGGTCCTTAACCTTATTTTATATCTCATACGGCAAGGCAGTTTAATTTAAGTACATGTTATATCAGCCTATTGCCATACACAGGGTTCATATACTATTACTGTATCCTGTATCCAAAACCACAAAATCCTTTTCGCCTTTTTCCAACACAAAGACCATATTTAAAACTTCTCAAGACCCTTTAACAACAAAGTATATACTGGACCTTAAATCATGAATTACGATAAGTCGTATCAAACTTTTTTATTACATAGTGATGCACCTCACGCTAACATGAGGTCATTCCAAATATATACATAAATACATATATTGAGTACATCACTATATCGATGACCTCAGCATCCGTGTTTGAACGTCTCATGTATGTACAAGCTATAAAACCGTTAAGTAAATGCTTATTGTATATGCTTAAGTTTAGTTTAAGATCCTGTCTTCAAATTCAGGTGGGGGACAATTGTGTATAAGCCTATTGCTATTACACGGGGTACAATTTCAAACTTTTTGCTATTTACTATGTAAAATTTTCAAATTGGAAAAAATACATTAATATTACTTAATTCGACCCAAAGAATGGGAATCAAACACAAGACAGAGTCGCACTACAACCATTCGATTAACGAAGCAATAAAAGTTCATATTATGTGTTAATAATAACTCCTTTATATTAAAAAACATTAATAACGTAGGTATTATTATTTCCTGATTAAAAGCCTTAAAGATTTATGTTCCTCTATGGCATATTCATTGTATTAATTGATACGGAACAAACACGTGCCTGTTAAAGGGCAGGCTTGCAAGGTGCAACGCAAAAATGACACCTATACGCGGTAAAATAATAATGGATTACAGGTGTACATGTAACTCTAGCTTCTGCTAACGGCTTCGCCCGCGTTCACGTGGGATATAAAGAAGTCTATGTGTTGTTATAATCTACCCTGTATTATTATATCATAATCTACCATGGTTCCAAATTTCATAAAAATTCCTTCAGCCATTTTGCCGTTATCGAGTTACAAAAATAAACACACTGAGTGTCGCATTTACAATATTAGTAAGATTTCATCTTCTTACTTAGGAAAACAGATGCCTAAGTCCCCTGTGCATGAACTCTAAGTTTCATTCTATTGTTTAGGTAATAATTAAACTTAATTAATATAGTACGCAAGCGCAACCATGACAGTGACTTGTCGTAACAATTTCAAAAGTGATCTCGAAATCCACAAACAAGCAACGACCGTGCGAATTCATATATACAAAAAAAAAACAGACGAATGATACAATTAACAGTAATTATTATCATTAATATCTTACCAGAAAACGTGAGAGAACATCCGACCTTCTGCCATAAAACAATAAGTCGATTATTCACTGACTTCAAAATGTCACAAGCACAGGGCACTTAACGGAATATCACGTACATGCAAAAAGTGGACGCGAAAAGAAATCAAACGATCGAACGCGATTGGCCGGTTGGTTAGAACGTTCGGATCCGAAATTCAAATCGGCCAATGAGAGGAGATCGCGCATGCGTGCAGCAACGACGAACGCTTGTCGCGGACTGAGGCAGTTTCTCAAATGAGTGGTAGTTGACGAGCCTTCTCCATTCACACTGTCAAGTTATTTGGTTCTGTGTTAGGCTATTTTGATCTTTACGTTTTCTGCTATCAAGTTAATTTTTCTGTGTTCGATTTTGTCGTTTAAATCTTTTTTGTTGCATTTAGAAACACATTGCCACCTCGGTCGCCTTCACATGCGCAGGAGTATATATTTTTTGCAATGTCTCGTTTTAATTTTTTTCACATTTTTTTTTAAATGAGTCTCTTTTATAATAATTATAGTAAAATATACGAAATGATTATTTGAATGTGATTCTGATTACGTAATAAATAGGTTTAAAAAGTTTCCGTTAAAAATATGTAACGTAAAATTTGACTTAGCATATTATTTAAATTTAACTAATGAAAGTTTTGTACTCAATTTAAATGTTTATGTAATAAACAAAAAGTATTTTAATATGTTTATTTGCACTATTCGCGCGTTGATGTCTTTTTCACAAAACAATTTTACTATAGTCAAGGTAACAGACATACTAAAACTGTTATTGGAATTTCATCCTTAACTCATAAGAAATAAAATCGCAATTTGAATGCTCACTACTCACTCAAATATAAACAATAGCAACATTTTTCCGAAAAAGGAATTTTCATTAAATAAAACCTAGAGTTAATGTGAGAATTAAATACATTTTGTAATATTATTTAACTATTTATATGGGGTTAAAAACCGCAGTTACTTTTTTATATACAGTTAGTAACTTGGTTATTCAGCTTTGTTTTATAATCCAAATAATGAGGTTATGTATTTTTATTATGGCTGCCTCGTTAGCCGAGTGGTTGCAAGTGCAACTGCCGGGCAAGGGGTCTCGGGTTCGATTCTCGGGTCGGGCAAGGTATTACTGGGTTTTAAAAAAAATCAGAGTAATAGCACGGAGTCTGGAATTGTGCCCGGTATATGGCAATAGGCTCACCCCCTATTACATGGGACTCATAACGTAAATAGTGAAAAGTGGGTGTTACATTGTACAGTGGCATGATGTATACCTCTGCCTATCCATTCGGGGATAAAAAGCATGATGTTATGTTATGTTCATTCAGTCTAATCAATAATCATTATAAAATCATACGATCACTACAGGAAGTCTGCAAACTGCATACCGTTCTTGATATCGGAAAGTATTCTAAAATATTCCAAAGTGTGCAATTGATGTATTTTACTAATTCAACCAAAAAGTAAAAGTCGATCGACTTTATTCCGATTTTAATTTATTCACAATGCACAGTTTTGAATTATTATCTAAGTCGTCTGCGCACTTCTAAGTAGAGGTATAATGTAATACATAGGTCTCTATGCAAATTATTAAGGCGTGACGAAGAAATAGATACAATAGACAAACTTTATCATGTCGCTAGCTTCTAAAATAACATTTTTATTCAGCACTAACAAAAAATAATATTTAAAAATATAAAAATAGGAGCCGACCAGTAGCGGGAGCATGGTCCAAGCTACCGGTGTTAGAGCTCCAGAGACAGAAACCTCCTCACGATACGTGCTGTTTCAAGGAGAACTACATTCTGTATCAGGCCCTTGATCTATCCACCTATAGCCAGCCTCCTAAGATGAATGTCGAGGCTTTTAGGGACTAACCCATTGGCCTACACGTAATATTAGTTATTATTAAGTCTATGATTTTTCAATGAATGAATGTTACAAAAATGTGGAGAAATCTAAGGAGTCCCATCACAATCCTAATCAGACGAACTTAAACTTACGTTAAACGTCAGACCTCAAACCAGTCGATTTGTTTAACTGTACTGCGCATGCGTACAAGTTAGACGCTTCACCAATAACTGGTCGTGAATGACATCTACAACATGTTTGACCCTTTTCTTGTTTTAATAAAACATGATGACTGTATGTGTACGAAAAGGTTAGCAAAAGTAAAAACAGCGTATTTTAATCATTTTTATTTTAAACTAGCTGGCCCGGCAAACTTCGTACCGCCTATTAATGTTTTTCCTCACTTTATAAACCTTCCCTGGACTTTCACGAACATTTCAAGACCAAAATTACCCAAATCGGTTCAACCGTTCTCGAGTTTTAGCGAGACTAGCGAACGGAAATTGGTTTTTATTTATATAGATAACGAGACAAAGTAAGGGGATAGGTTCCGTATTTTTTTAATGTTTTGTGAATAATATGCCCCTTTTCTTGTTTAAAGTATTACTTGGTTTTTAAAAACGCTCAGTAGTAGCACGGAGTCTGGAATTGTGCCCGGCATATGGATATAGGCTCACCCCTATAACATGGGACTCATAACATAAATAGTGAAAAGTGGGTGTTACTTCTGTGTGCACCTCTGCCTACCCCTTCGGAGATAAACGGCGTGATGTTATGTTTATGCCCCTTTTCTCGACGTGACTGTATTTTATGTAACAATAAATTGTATGTACCTAAGCCAGCCTTTAAAAGTTAAACGCCATCAAACTTTAAGGTTTGGCGAGTTTAGATGTAAGTCCAAACCTATGTAAAATTTCAATAAATAAATTTCTTTCTAGGACCCCTGGCCTGTCCTGGTGTTGACCACGGCCTCACAGAATACCGACGTGAAACAACGCTTGTTTTATGTTTCGTCGTGTGAGTGAGGTTACCGGAGGCCTAATTACCTCCCCTTCCCAGTCTCCTCAATCCCCGAATCCTTCACAATCCTCAAATTCTCGATTCCCAAAAGCCAGTAACGCACTTGCAACGCCTCTAGTGTTTCAGGTGTCCATGGGCGGCGCTGATCGCTTAACATCAGGTGTTCCGTCTACTCGTTAACCACCTATTCCATTTAAAGCTAAATATTAAAAACATTTCGTATTGAACAATTTATATTAAGTGTATTGTTATTTATATTATAGTAAGTATAATATGTAATTTATATTATAGTAAGTATAATACTTAAAATGGATGTAAATGGAAGGTAATAAAAACACAAAAAATGAAGATTATTTTTTATTTTCTAATACTCTTTGACATAGATTATCACAACAGTAGAAATAATATAACATAATATTACAACACCATTATTTGTTTACGAAATAGAAATCTTTGCATTAAATATACAATAAATTAAATATTAAAGCTTTAACTAAAATACATTTTGGTATAACTATGTATCGTGATATATACTAAATTAATTTCATTTAGGTACGTTATTTACTCAAGTAACCATTCGAGGGCGCTCGACTAGTTTCGAGCTGCAAACGGGGTTTATAATAAAGAGTAGCATGCACGCTAACCGACGACACATAGCGATCAGAGTGCCTAGCACGAATAACAATCGCATTCTTAACTTAATAGTATCGAGCGCGTTCGGTGTTCTGATTGGCCGGCTCCAGTGAACCAACCAATCAGAACGACGAACTCGCTCGATACTGTTACGATACGAATGCGATAATTATTCGTGCTTGGCACTCAGGTTGGTAACTTTGGATAGTTACGTGTGCAAACGTTATATTTATTCCTTTTAATAAACATTGACTAGAATGCAATAAAAATTGAATTAACAACAAAAATAAAGCAACATTAGTAAATAGTGTACAATATAATATGTTCTATCATTAATTAAATAGTATATAGTATAGTATACTTTAGGCCTTTAGCTTAAGGCTCAAAATAGAAGAATATTTTATAAAGATTCATAACCTTCTCTCGGTATGTAGATATAGAAAACATGTATAGAAAAATAAATTATAATTATTAATCATTTGAAACTATGAAAAAAAAAATTGACAAATTATACTAAGATTGAAAATGCAATTCCTAAACAATAAATAGATTTTATTATAGATACATTTTTCTATTAGAATGGAAATCACAGAAGAAGAAACTTTATATTAGACGCTATAAAGTCGAAATCACAACAACTACTAACCACGTTTGTTATGTTCTAACATAAATCCGAACTATTATGTCTACGATACGCAAATTGCTAAGACAAGTAATTCAGGCCCTAATGTTTATTTAAATTCATCGTTATGAGTAAGTATGTGAGGTCGAATATCGAATGATTTAGATCTTCTTTCTTGTCAGGAACCAAGTCTGCATTGGCTCAGCTTTGCCTTTCATGGAAACATGTCCGCGGTATGTGAGTTCGAATCTCTCGTCGTAGTTGTCTTCGCGCATCAGGTAACTGTAATAAAAATTGACAATACATCTATCTCCTTTCCAACACAAAAGAATTATCAAAATCGGTTCATAAATAACGGAGATTTCGGCGAACAAACATAAAAAAGGCATATATACGGTCGAATTGAGAACCTCCTCCTTTTTTGAAGTCGGTTAAAAATAAACTATCCTCATGTTGACTATTGATTGCTATGAATATATTGTCAGGTGTGTCGCTCTTCTCCATTCGAATCTACATTTTGGAACGAGCACCAGCTTTACTGACCGACAGAATGACAGACTAATTTTATTTTGTATTTATTGACGTTTAAAAAGTACCAAATAATGGTTTAATTGAAATAAAAGCTTTGACTTTGAGGTAAGTCGTACTTCATAGAAGAATTTTTGAGTTTGTCGAAGAATTATAGGGCTTTTTTTAATTTTAGTTTTAGAAGTAGTAACATAATATCGCGCCTTTGATCCCCGAAGGGGTAAGCAGAAGTGCACACAGAAGTAACACCCACTTTTCACTATTTATGTTATGAGTCCCATGTAATAGGGGGTGAGCCTATTGCCATATACCGGGCATAATTACAGACTCCGTGCTACTTACTATTGAGATTTAAAAAAAAACCCAGTAATACTGTGTTGGACCCAGGAATCGAACCCGAGACCCCTTGCCCTGCAGTTGTACTTGCGACCACTCTACCAATGAGGCGGTCAGTCAGTTTTAGAAGTAATGTTTTTATGTTTGCCCTGTTACAATGGTGTTTCGCATGTAGTCACCAGCGAACTTCATACTTCTGGATATAGGCCTCCCCAAACATGCTCGTTTCGTAACTCCACCTCCCTGGATTGCAACCGGCTCTACACAACATAGCCTAGACATAATTAAAACAATTGAATGTGCCCATGATTCCGTAGAAGAATTCGTTTAGTAATTCTTATTCAATCATTCTTAGTTCAGTATTTATTTAATTCAATTCCACAGCCATTTCTGTCACACACTTTAAACAATAATCACTAATTCTTTAATAAAACTCTTGATCTAAGCTAAAATTCTCCACTAACATAACGACAGGCACACCTGTACAATAGGAAACAGCTTAACTAAGGCTTCCTAACAAATAAGAAGCTTACACTGCACTTACAAGTATTCTCTGTGACAATGAGGGGTAAAAAACTGATTTTACTGTCATTGTACTACGGACCATACTCCAAGATACATCAAAATAAACAAATAAATAAAAACTATTTCTTAAAAACCATAAAATATCAAAATTAAAAATAATATCAAAAGTCATAAAAATTATAGGATTAATGTGATTTTTTTGGATTTGTTTTCGTGTTTGTAAATTCTTTTTTTTAATGTGTATAAAATGGATTCGTTCATGGAATATTATTTTGACGGAGTGTTCAGTAATTTGGATCGCGACTGTTTGAATGAGAGGTTCAAACGGCGGGAATTGGTCGAGTATTTCAATACTGTCATTGCTGGCTGTGCTAGAGGTTATTTTTAGTTTATTATTTCTAATTTTTGTATTTTGTGATTATGTTGTTGGGGTGTACAATTTTAAATTTGTTACATAATATAACCATTTATTTATTTTATATTATTTAACAAGGTTATTGTGATTAGTGTTTATTTATTTGTAACTAGCGACCCGCCCCGGCTTCGCACGGGTGCAATATGCATGTATTATACATACAAACCTTCCTTAAGAATCACTCTATCTATTAAAAAAAACCGCATCAAAATCCGTTGCGTAGTTTTAAAGATCTAAGCATACATACGGACATACAGCGAAAGCGACTTTGTTTTATACTATGTATTGATAAGCCGTTTTCCATATTTTAATTTGTTTTAAACAAAGCATTATTTATGTATATCAAAGTTATCACCATCTAAATTAAATTTTTAAAACATCAGCATCATCATACTTGAGATTTATTGTCTCATAATAATTTTCTCTAATCCCAAATTGTGAGTTTGCAAGTGTCTTCTACCTAATGTCCAAACTGATGCCTATACGAGTATAACTATAAAGTTTTAAACATAACTGTTTGATCTTCTTTCAGGTCAAAATCACTCGGACAACACATCATGCAAGAACTTCGTGATATCAGCATTACGCTACCACAACAATTGTAAGGCAAAGAACGGAGATGTGTGCCTTATGGGGAAGTACCATAACCTTCTATACGTCGCCATGAAGCTGGCTTTTGATTGGAGCTTGCAGGACAATGGTGTGGTTGCCGCATTATTAGATGAGCTGTACGCTTGCGAGAGGACTTTTGAAAGGATATTTTTGGGTATGTTTATGATCTTACTAGATTTTTGTTTATAGAAATATTTGTAAATGAATTGTGGTAGGAATTTCGAATTGTTTCTATTATTTTTCTTGTTTCTATTATATGCAATTAATATATTCGAATTGTAACTAGTCTATGTGAAATTCTGGGTAAAATGAATGCGTGATTGTGCTTGATTGTGTCTAAATAATTTATAAATTGTAAATTTTCAGGTGCAATTTTCGGCACATCAGCCCCCTACTTCTTAGCTGGTTGGAAATCTGACTTCATGGACAAAGAAGAAAACGTTCACGCTCTAGTTTTCTTTCTAGATCATGCAACTAACGCTAACCTTGAATATGAAGAAAATGGAAAAACCTATCGGTTTATTGACGTGCCTTTGGAAAGTTGTGGACATGCTTCCCCAGTAAGAGTTGTCATACAAATGGGAGCATCAGAAATGCTGATGATACTTCTAAGATTTGGAGCCAGGATAACATCAGATGTGGTCTCAACTAATCCTATTGAATCCATCTTGGATCGACTCAATGAGTATAACAGAAAATATCCGTATGAACTAGTATCTTGTCTGAAATTGGCTATGAGAGCTGTTCCAACCATCACTTTGTCAGTAGACAAAGAAGTATTAAAGCACTTGGAACTGCCTGATGACTACAATTACCAAAGAAAATTGATGTTGGAGAAATATGGAGATATTTTGAGTGATCACTTGGTACCAGCTTCCAGATGTGGACTAAAACCAGTTGAGTTGAAGCATTTATCGAGGTGTAAGATCAGGCAAATCTTATGGAGCAACTTTGAACTCCCGTTCGGAATACAGAAGCTACCTATTCCAATATCTTTGAAACGATATTTAGATTTGTGTGAAGATTAAAATGTTTTATTTGATATACCTATTGCTTTTATTTTTTTACTGTATTTAATAGTTGAAAATCATAACTATGAAAGATGAATATTTAAATTGTCGTCTTTCCTTAGATTTTATATCAGTGAGGAATTAAATTAAAATCATCCAAAAAGCATGGGGCTTAGATAACAATTGAAAATAGTAACTAGAGTATTACGTCAGTGAACTACTTAGTTATGTTCTAGTCCCGCATAACATTACACAAGCTGATTACTTTTAATGGAGGCTGAATGACTTTGTGCATTCATGGATGCTTGGTGATTGATGCATTATTATTGGATCAAACACCCTATAATTTCGTAGCTCAGTTAATCACTAAACAAATATCAAAAAAGAATAGATAATAAAGAATCATAAACATTTACCCGTAAGTATCCTCGCTGACGTTGATGGTGCCAGGTACTCCAGTGGTCTCGCAGCGACTGGTCAAGTTGACAGTGTTACCGAAGAGGCAGTACCGGGGCATGCGGTGGCCAATCACACCAGTCACTACTTCTCCGGTATGGATACCGATTGTGATGCCCTAGGAGATAAATAATGGTTTATAATGTAAGGTACTAAAGAATATATGATATTCACAACGCACTAATACTATTTTCAAACCAATTTGTTGTTTATGAACGTTGTTTACGTAATCAATACGAGGGTTGTCTTTTTCACTTTAATCAATACAATTTTCTAGTAATTAGGTATCCGGTGACCTATTTAAACTGATGTGGTTTTGTCTTTTAATTCCAGTCTGAATCTCATACTTTATTTAGAGATGGAATCGGATATCTCAGTTGAACAGTACTAAAGAACGTATTGGAAAGAAAAGTAAGTAGATACTATTATAATCAACCCACAAACTGAACCCTGTTAAGCAGAAAAGATCCCGCCCACATTTTAGCTTCACTAGACTGACACATTTTCACTAGAGGACTGACTTACAGACTGACACATTTTCTTTTCTTATTATTTAGTATTTAAATATTTTGTTTTGACGTTCAAAAGTGCCTTACTGGTCTAATTGAAATAAATGATTTTGACTTTGACTTTGACTTTGACTTTTATTACTTTTGAGTAGATAAAGTTTAAAGTAATCATATGATATAGTATCTATTGAATAATAGGTACTGTATCATATGATTTTTTTATTATCTGCCCTACATGAAACTTCTTTTACTCAAAAGTAATAAAATGTGGGCAGGATCTTTTCTGCTTAACAGAGTTCTTATTCTTATAAGAAAATAGTTACTCACCACTGGTTCGCCATCAACAGTAACAGTTTGAGAGAGATCCATCATTTCCAAGGCGAGGAGGGAGATGTGCTTGGCATGACCAACTTCATATTCTGGCAAACCAGAGACTGCCATGTACTTATCACCAACTGTCTCCACCTGAAATTATCATTCCGTTTTATAGCCTAATTGTGATGAAATTTTTTGGTCAAATGCAGTTCCTATTAACAAGTTATGATATGAGCTAATAAAATAATGCTTGCACAAAAAAGCGCGGTAAATTAGTTTATTTCAAAAATCAAACAATACTAATATAACTGTTAATTGATAGGTGATGATAGAATAAGTACGTAGCTTGTGGCACCCAAGGACATTGAAAAAAAGGCGTCTACAGTCTCTTGAAACAACGAGTGTGGCACCTGGCTACTATAGACTTACACGCAGAGCATACACACATTGATATGCAGGCCATCTTTCATTTTCTTAAGTCTGATAACGTGGTAACCTATTACACATGCACACATCAATAACGCATAGACTCACATTTTGGTGCTTCAATAATTTCTAAGTGACATTATAACCACCTTTTTTTTCAACGTCTTACGTGGCACCTATTGCATTATGTGGCATTCGACTTCAATACTATTTTGATCAAAGTCAAAGTCAAAATCATTTATTTCAATTAGACCAGGAAGGCTCTTTTGAACGTCAAAACAAAATATTTAAATATAAATAATAAGAAAAAATGTCAGTCTGTAGGTCAGTCCTCTAGTGAAGCTATTTGCTCGTTCCAAAGTGTAGATTCCTATGGAGAAGAACGAGCAAGAAAACCATAGGTTACTCTTTTTCAATCATGTTCACAATGCAATTTTTGGTTACAATGTCATGTCGGATCTAAGTTATAATGTCAAGCAAGCCCTTTCTTTCTTAACGAACTTTGACAATCTTTCCAAATACCTTCATGTTCATCACCTTACCTTATACACATTAGGATTTCTCTTCGGATCAGTCAGTACATCAAATGCTGTGTACAGATCGTTCAGCATCCTAACAATCTTCATGGCTCCCTTATGGTCGGTGTGCCTGGCGCAGTAGTTGGCGAACCCAACGATGCCGCTGAAGAGTAAGGTGACGGTGTCGTAGCGACGAGCCGGTACTGGACGCTGGTGACGAAGCTCAGTGGCTACGCTGATTGGCAGGACTGAGTAGAGGAGCCTGATAGGAAGAATTAGGATAAATTAATATTTTACATAAATTTGAAAGATGTAGTTGTTATGACCTATAAAAAGTATATCGTGGACTATGGAATACTTAAGAAATAAATTATAGAATTGAAGATAGAAACTCCAAATGTGTTTACGACTAGGACTCTAACGTTATTTGAATTAAAAAACAAATATTTTCAGGAGTTTAAATATAGAAGCACGTATACGGCTGCTAAAAAATTCAAATACCTATCGGTTTTTTGTTTCTCAGAGTCCAGTTCTCGGAAGGTCTGCTGCAATTTATCAGTAAGCACTTCCAGGTTTTGCGTCAGCTTGTAGTCTGCCTCAAATTGTTCAGACATGAGGACCAAGTCCCGAGTGGCATCATGAAGAGGAATGTCGGAGATGCAGAGACCACGCCTAAAATAATAGATCTTGTTATTGTTCTAGATATCAAGGAACTATTCAATGATTTTGTTGAGAATGAGTTATTAAAGTTACCGAGTCAAGTCATCTAAGTTGGTCACGCTGGGATAGCATTGGAACACCACAACGTCTGTTTCTGGAATATACAGCATTTGGCCCTGAAATGAAAAGTTAATAGTTTGACTACGGTCCAAAGTCTACTATTTCATACAGAATATATTTTAAAAACCCAACCTGGTGCATGATAATTATAATACAAATCGTAGGCATATTTTTTAGGACACATATTGACCACACATAACGTTTAACAAAAATTCTGATAAACAATTTACCAGTGAGTATTCTGAAGCCATTCCAAATGTATCAGAAATCTTATATCTTATACTATTATATAAAGCGGAAGTTTGTTTTTTTATTTGTTTGTTTGAACGCGCTAATCTCCGTAACTACAAGTCTGATTTGAATAATTCTTTTTAAGTTAGATAGTGCATTTATCGAAGATGTATATAGGCTATAAAACATCACGCTAAGACCAATAAGATCTGAGTAGAGCGTCTGAAACCGCGCGGAAGTAGCTAGTATCTAATATACTCTGGTTTCGATATAAAAATGTTTAAGAAGAATGATACCTTCAAACGTAGAGAAGCAATATCCTCATCAGGAGCAGACACCATTTCCTCAGGCTTAGTCTTCAGCACGTACACCGTGTTGATGTGAGCGAGCACATTCGCGAATGTCATCTCCAAGTGAGGTCGCACCTGTAATACAACAACATAGTAAATATTAAACTTTATTCTTTATGTGATATTTATGCTGTGTGGTGACGGTAAAATACAATACAATTTGCCCCTAACCCTGCTGGTTCTGCGGGTGTCCCCTAGGAGTTGACATTGAAAAGAGGCCGTAAAACAGCGCTAATTAGTATGTAGTCCCTTAGTCAGGGTTTAAGAGAATCGCGGGAGTAATAAGCAGACAGTTACCATATCATTTCAAGTCCAAAATACGAAACGTACCGTGTCCAGTACATCAGTAATCTTGCACCCTGGACGGGTGACCCTTGGCATCAGACGGGACACAGTGCGTCCAGCTTGGACGATGTTCAGCTCTCGGTCGAACATTAGATGGAATGGGAATACACGGCAGAAGGTAGCCGGGCTCACTTTAGGCTCTGAAATTAAAAATATAAATATCTAATTAAAAAACTGAAAAGTAGGCGTCCGATGTAGCATAACCATCCAATTTGGAAAAACCACATATAATTTGGAGCTCTGTAGTAGAAATAATGTTTTACTCTCGTAATATTAAATTTTCTACTATCAATCATCGTCTGTATAGATTTGAAAGGTAAGTCTGAGTGATTTTTACGTACTTATCTATGTTAACTATTTTCCTTGGCGTACTTAGTGCATTCTCTAAACCATGTAAAAGGATAGCAGACAGTTCAAGAAAATTAAAAATGTAATTAGTCCGTCAGTTAAATAATGAAAAAATATTAGACACATATTTTTTAATTATGCCGTTCATTAAAACAGTACTCAGATAAAATGGAGTTAAGTTTAGGAGTGGGAGGTCGTTACGTCAATCTACCCTATAAAATGTGTAAATCGTGACGTCATACGATATTTCAAATTAATATTTCTTTCTTACCAAGAGACAGAGTTTCGATTTCAGCCATCTCAGGAGCACAAACTCGTCCAGAAGTGGATGTCTCAGTAATCAGAAACTGGACGTGGTCGCATTCTTCTTTTGTCTTCAGGATCTCAACCTTCACTTCTGTGTCGTGAAGCTTGCTAGCTACGGTCTAAAGTAAAATAAGATTTAAAGGAATTAATAGAACTGATCTTATTATTAGTGAAGATATACCGTACACTTTAGTACTTTGTTTTATTTAAATACAACATAATTGCAAACCTCAACACTATATTTATATTATAACTTTTGTGAGACATAATTATAAATATGAGCCTTTAGCATGGCTTGAAACTAGTCGAGTTCCTCGTCGAATAATTACGTGTGTAAGTCGAAAAACATATAATAATTAACCCCAACACTATTTCCAGAGCCTCGGTATGAAGCTGAGGAGTATTAATCACCATGTTTTCTCAAAGTACATTTAGAATATTGACTGCATGGTTGGCGCTGTGGCTGGATAACTGGCTGTTGTATAACGTGCCGCGGGTTCGATTCTCGCACGGAACAACACTATGTCTGATCCACAAATTGTTGTTTCGGATCTGGGTGTCATATGTATGTGAACCTGTATCTTTGTTAACGTACCCACGATACAGGACAAAAGCCTAGTATCGGGTAATGTATAAACAAAACAGGTTTATAATAAAACAACTCAAGAAGGGTCTATCGGTAAAATAATTGTTTAGGAATAAGTACGTTTGCCACACAATAGCTTATATCCAGATATTTAATATTCTATGAAGTGCTAATGAAGTGCTAATAAACGTTTATAACAAAAGTATCTTTCTTACCTTCACAATTCCAATGACAATATGCTCCAATCCAGGTCGATCAGAGTAATAGTGAAGTACCAAAGCCCCGTCTTCAGGCCGCTCAGTGCATCGGAAAGATGGCGATCTCATGCCAGGGTACAGAGTACCCAGGTGATCGTGTAGCCCATCCAGATTCTGGAAAAACATATATAAACATCATTATGCTGATATTTTCTCAAAGAGGAAGATAGTATATAGATGTGATGGTGGTTCTTTTAGACTGTCATCGTATTACTGGGTTTTGTAAAAATTCTCAGTAGTGGCACGGAATCTGGAATTGCGGTATATGGCAATAGGCTCACTCCCTTTTACATGGGACTCATAACATAAATAGTGAAAAGTGGGTGTTACAATGTACAGTGGCACTAAGTGCCGTAATGTGCACCTCTGGCTACCCCTTCGAGGATAAAAGGTTAGCTGTTATGTTATGTGTTCATTTCATGTGACGGGGATGATTCCAATGAATAGACACGTTAATTTGATAAAACATCTAAAGGGTGTTTAGATAAAACTGTTGGCTCATAAACCCATAATTACAGGTTTTTTTAAATATTATATTATGTTAAGTTTGATGGATCACCTGGTAAGCGATCAGCGCCGCCCATGGACACGCGCAACACCAGAGGTGCGTTGCCGGCTTTTAAAAAGGAATACGCTCTTTTCTTGAAGGTTTGAATTTGTTTTCTTGAAAATGCTTTGATTTTAATTAACAAAATGAAAATATCAACAACATAACCAATTCAATTCGATGTTTTGACTGGATAAAATAATGAACTAAGGAATTGTATTGTAAACCTGATTGAAAACAGTGACCTATGGAGTATGAAGGTCCTTGCTCGTTCTTCTCTATAGGAATCTACCCTTAGAATGAGCAAATAGCTATACTTTAAAAAAAATATTGACGTTCAAAAGTGCCTTTCTGGTCTGATTGAAATAAATGATTTTGACGTTGACTTAGAAATTATAGAATATTCGTACTTACATGTGAATGATCATTTCTACTTAATTAATCATCTTCCATGTATTTTTAATCTAAAGATTATGGAACTACACTGTGATGACAATAACAGACACAGTTGCGCCTCTAGCGGATTTATTTGCGAAAATTTATTGACTAATGTTTTATACGTCTGTATAACCCGTGATAGGAACAGTTGGTTAAAGAATATTTTTTTTTATTAATTTATAGTTCATTTGCTAGCATTAAAAATGGAAACTTGTTAATTTTAGAAATATTTCAACAAATCGTTTTAGTTCCGTAGGTTACTCAGAGATGGCACTGTTTGATATTTTGATATTGTCTAATGTTCCGAAAATACTTATTATGCAGTAAGAGGACTTGATAAATTTTGTATCTCTTTCACTTACCATTTTTTTATTATTTGGATTATTTTTAATGAAATTGAATTAAGTTTACCTGCAAGAAGTCCCTCGGTGTAGCACCAAGAACTTGTAAAATCTTGTCATATCCAGAATCTTGACAGAATTCGAAGAAGGTTTTTCCAAAGAGTTCCAGAATTGCGTCAGCTGGGATTTCTGTAATAAATTAAATATTAAATTAGCAAGGTGAAGTTACGTCGAAGCATTGTTTGGCAATTAAATGGGCATTCTTGATTTTATTTATTTAAGTTTTATATAATTGCATAACGAAGACTTAATGCTAACAGCATTCTCTGCCAGTCATCTTTTGGGTAGTGTAGAAATGTATATGGTAGGTGGTAAGCTGCAAAAATTTTATGAGAGATAGTGGATAATTAATTCAAATTAATAAAAGAGTATCAAAAGCATACATAAAATACGTACATAATAATACATATAATCATATAGAATTTTAAAATGAATAAAAAGGAAAATAATTTATATTTTAATATAAATTAATAATATAAATAATTCCTATTTTACTTTTTATCATTTTCTTTAATTGTCAAAATGTCATATTAATTGTCAAAAATACATGTCAAAGTGGCCGAGTGGTCGCAAGTGCAACTGCCGGGCAAGGGGTCTCGGGTTCGATTCCAGGGTCGGGCAAAGTATTACTGGGGTTTTTAAAAAATTTTCAATAGTAGGACGGAGTCTGGAATTGTGCCCGGTATATGGCAATAGGCTCACCCCCTATTACATAGGACTCATAACATAAATAGTGAAAAGTGGGTGGTACATTATACTGTGGCATAATGTACACCTCTGCCTACCCTTTTGGGGATAAAAGGCGTGATGTTATGTTATGTAATTTTACTGTTGAAAAACACAAAAAAACATCATCATTAATCATCAATCATAAATCATCATCATTTACACTCGCAATGCCTATTTTACTTTTTATCACTTTCTTTAATTGTCAAAACAATCAACTGCTCTATTAATTATGAGTTCATGACATTGTCAACGAGAACGTTACTTTTAAGTTAGAAAAACTTAAGTATTATTTTACTTACGCAGAACTTCAACAGCAGCAGTGATGAGATGGTAGGTGATTTCATCTTCATATATCTGGCGCACGAGGAAGCTGCCTTCCATCGCCACATCTGCCTTTTTCCTGCATAAGTAGATTTTTTTCATAATATAATTAGGAAAATTATTGAACTGAGAAGAATTTCAATTCGTATACTCAGTTTGACAAATTCTCTCACAATATTAAAATACAACAAAATACGACTCGAAATACGTCACATTGGTATTTGCTGTTGTATTGTTGTAAATTTTTCGCTGATATTACAGCAAAACAACATTACAAAATAACTGGATTCTAAAATCAGCTTTAACTACATTGAAAAATAAACTGAATTGGTTAGGTACCCATCAAATCCATTTTACAAAAGTACCTAATACCTGCTCTTTCTAAACATTGATTACAATTCATGTTTAAATATAAATAACTAGATGAAACGAACCTTATTGCTATGTTATAGCATTGCTAAGCTATAGCAATAAGGTTCGTTTTACAATAACATTAATTTGAACAACTGTTTGGCAACCAAATTTTCAATGCTCAGATAAATTTTAACTGAAGAATAACTTTCAATATTGGAAAATTCTTCCATACTAAAAACTGTCAAATGTCAATTTTATTCTACAGTTAAGAATTAACTATGATCATTTAAACATTGGCCCTTTATCAAGTACAGTGAAACTTGGTTAAGTGGGACCTGAATAAGTGAGAAACCTCCATAACTGGAACTCATGCTGAGGTCCCAACACTTTGGCACTGAATTACCTCTGTTAGTGGGACGAGGTAAACCTCTATATCTGGGATTTGTTCTTTCAAGTTATCATCATAGTTACCTCTATAACTTTTCAGTTAGCGAGTCAATTTTATATGCATAAACCTCTGTAACTGAGATAACATTGTTTGTTTACTCATTCTTATTCTACTCACGAATTCCACACATAATTCCAAGTCCACCTCTATTAATGGAACCCTCTGTAAATGAGACAGATATTTATTTATACCTATATATCTGAGACACTGGGTAAGTGGAATACCTCTATAAGTGAAACGACATTGCAGGTCCCTTGATGTCTCACTTAACCAGGTTTCACTGTATATTAATGGAAAATAATAATCACGACTTACTTTATGGTCTCCCATGTCTCTTCATTGAAGGTTTTGGTAACAAGCAGCTCTAAGGCGTAGTTCACAAACCCGTACTGGAAAGAGGATGGTTAGGTTGTAAATTATTTTATTAATGAAACTGACATTAATTTTATTTCTACAATTGTTGTAGAACATTGTTCAAAAACTTACCATATTGCGACTTTATTATATTGTACTGTAACAAAAGAAATATCATTAATAATTGTGTAAAATTAAATGTAATAGGTAGATATTGACCACAGATATTTATATTAAAATATTGACGAAGTTAAAATTACTTTAGATAAACTTTTACAAATAAAATAGGGTTTGAAAGTTTTGATTACTAAGAAATTACAAAAAAAACCTTGGAACTTCACTCTAAAATCACAAAAATACTTAAATTGGGATAACTTTTGAAAACAAGCTTTTGAAAATATTGCATTATCACAATTTGCCAATCACTTTGGAGCACTAATAAATACTTAAAGACATTGTGAGATAATACAATTCGCTATGAATAGTCTATATGCCTTCCGTCAAAGTAGCTAATGTGCTACTCGTTACTAGGTGGCAGCAGAATGTCTCACTACTTACACTCGTCTATTGCACAGTAGATGGCGCTATATTGCGCAGACATTAATAAACGTGTTTCACATTATGTTATTGGATTTACAAGCATAAAAATAAATCATAAAAAATCACAAACACATTAACACAAGGGTCTATGCTATCCAAAATGAAAATGAAATTACTTAGGTGATTACTGAAAAAATTGTATATCGATAACAAAATAATTACAAGATAAGAAAAATAAACGGATGCACATAAAGTTATTTATATAAAATATATTATAGTAGAAGATCGCAGTTATCAACACAAAAAAATAAATAGAAACATGAAATTAAACTCGATATCAAAGAAATGAAAAACGGTTAAATTCTTTATTTGAAAATAAAAACAGCTTATCACAAAAAATCGTAAGGAAAGAATATCCCATACCTTTTCAATCCCAAAAGTTGCCACAAATTCACAAATGTTACTAAGTCGGTCGTTTCGAAGCCATAAAAATTAAATACGTGCTGTTTGTTTTGTTTTATTTCGACGTGACTTCCTCCCACATAACTGCACGCGCCAACGGTCTGGCGGCAACTGACGTACGAACGCCATTGGCTGAACGACTGACGCGTAATTACATAAACTTTTAAGTTACACTAAAACAATTATAATATTCCTAAAAAGCTACTCATATCTTAAATTAATTTTGTAATTATAATATTTTGAAGAATTTAAAGGATAAAAAGGAGAAAAGCTTAGATATTTTATAAGTCTCTGAGCGGCATTTTCCGGAACTATTAGTTTTGTCCTATTCGCCACTAGATGGCGGTAGTAGGAGCATCAAGCATGAAGGTTCTATTCTATAGCTGCAACCGTGATTCAGCGTCCATGACAAATATAATTGGATGTAATATACAAGCATTAGCTCGCGGCTGCGCCCACATGAAAATTAATATCCTAGTATCTCAAGGGAATCGTTATGATGAGAAATTAAAACGGGAATGTCCATGAATGTTTAATGTAGGACTGGCTATGTATACGCTTTGGCCATGAACCGCTAAATATAGGCGTGAAACTGGAAATGATTGATACCCCTTTTAGCTTGAATTGGGGTCATTTTAATTATATGGAAATGGGTCAATACAATACATGATTTCAGTAATGCGAAGCGTTTGCATAAAACAGCAAATACGTACGTTATAATAGAAAAGAAACGATTATATTGTAATGAATTGTCGATTTCTTTTAACAACAAAACTAAAGTACTTATACCATAGCAAAAAACTTATGCTGTTTAGTGCAAAAAATTGCACTAGACAGCATAAGTCCACGAATAAACGTAATAATAAGTATTATTATTATTTTATCTCTTGACCTACTTACATAGGTACACTAACAAAATAAATAATATACCTACCCATAACCACAAAATTATGCAAGTCATTTAGAAAATTGTGGAAGAGAACCGCATGGTTAATTTATAGCCAGATGGACTAATCGGTCTTGGGGTTAAGCCGGAATAAATCTCCGAATCCCCTTTGTAGCGTGTAAAGCTCGGGTGCATCCTTGATGGATAGCTGTTACGGCTTACGACTAACCGAGAATATTACAACAGTCGTAGTGGATTAGAGGAAAAGAAATACTGGTGTGATTTTCTTCTCAAGGTACCCACGTACATCGTGATTTGTATTATTGTAGTTTAACTCGTCGAGTACCGTCATTATAGACACAATTATAGAACAATTGGTTGCGGTCACCGGTGACCGCTTGGTGTTTGACAGTTTAATGTCAAAGTCATTCAGTTTCATGTCATCGTAATGTGATGTCGGAATTTATTGACATAATCAATAGGGTAGATGCTTAATTTTTATTTAAATCTCCATCTGGTAGATTATTTTAAATCATTAGACACGTATTTTTTATTCTCTTACAGAAACGAATACTTTCGACGATATATTGATCTGAAACGTCGCATGACGTCACTTCTATGTACATTTTATACGTAGAAATGACGTTTTAGCCCTCACTAAACTTTGATTCGTTTTATCTAAGTATTGTTTTATTATACACAAAATAAAAAAAAACGTGACTAATATTTTTTATTACCTAACTTGCGGACTAATTATATTTTTAATTTTCATACCCTGTCATCATCCCAATTGTACACTGAACGAATTCAGAAGAGCCTGTTACTGTAGTTGTGTCCATCTGTGACTTGGCTTAAGGAATATGTTTGTTACCATAATAATGAATGTTTGTAGTACCTAATTGTAACACAGATACTTTGTAATTTTATTCCATAAATATTGGCATACGCTATTGCATTAGGTATTAGTTCCTGTAATGATAGTACTATGTACATAGTTAATAAATAAATAAAAAAATGTGTCGATTTTCAGTCTAAACTCGACTATTAGCCGCGGAAGACTTAACGGGTTGCCGGTGCTCCGGCTCGATGTACAGGAGTAGGAACGAGGTGGTTTTTAGTCAGTAAGAGTCTGACACTCCCTCACGCCTCACCATAAGTGTGAGAGAGCCATGCATCAGCACGAATGAGTCGGCTCGACCGGAGTGATACCACGGCCTCACAGAAAACCGACATGGAGCAACGCTTGCGTTGTGTTTCGTCATGTGAGTGAAGTTCCCGGAGGCCCAATTACCCTTCCCCAATCTCCCCAATCCCTAAATCTCCAACGATCCTCAAAAACCCGCTAATGCACTTGTAACGCCTCTGGTGTACCAGGTCTCCATGGGCGACGCCGATTGCTTATCATCAGGTGATCCGTCAGCTCGATCACCAGCTTATGCCATAAAAAACCCGGGCGGGAGAAGTCATTGGATGATATTCCTACCTCAAAAAAACAAAATTCACTCTTATAAGTACTTCGAGATTTTTATATTTAATAATCAGGTAGGTACTCAACTTTGACAACTACGGTCAACGTACAACATCTTATTAAATAAATATACCATTATTTCGTTTTAAATTTTACATTGACACCTTAATTTAAATGCTCAGATTTTGCAGCAACATAATTATAATAGTATGTTTTCGATGACCTCTGATACCCAAAGAACAAAATTATGTTTAGAATGTCAGTGTATTTGATACATCGTTTTTTGTGTCACTACTAATTTTAACGTCCAAAGGCACTTCGCCTGGCTGGCGACAAATCATTAATTTAATTTTGATAATGAAGTTACTATTATATTTGATACATTCTTATTTTTGTGTACAACTTGACCACTGACTAATAATCTGATTAATATTGTCTATCAAATTAAAGTTCACCCCCTATTTCATGGGACTCAAAACATAAATAGTGAAAAGTGGGTGTAACTTCTGTGTGCACCTCTGCCTACCCCTTCGGGGATAAAAGGCGTGATGTTATGTTATGTTATCAAATTAAAGTTGACTATATGTTTCATAAATTTAATATAGTAATTTTACCAAAGTTTACAAATTATTGTGATAATTCAGTTATATTCTATAATGTAAGGTGATGACTTGATATATTTTTATTGTTAAGATTTAACTGGTGCAACATAAATTTTGTAATATTTTGAGACTAGTAGAATAATCCAAATATCATGAACTATTGTACACCTTATAGGTATGTTACTATGCTACTATTATTATAACATGTATTGTCAACAAACAATAAATGAATTTGAATTTGAATTAAGCATAGAAAAACCAACAACTGTCATACTCCAAGTCACCATACTTAAAACTACATATAACAGCGAACACAAAACACATAGACACATAGTGGACTTTAATTCGTAAATAGGGGCGTGAGACATTAATCCATTTGTGTAATTAACCGCGCCCACACATTGTCAAATCAGTGGATCAAAGCTTCGCGTGTTTTGCCTTTCATACTAAGATAATACTTATTAGTTTATGTAATTAACTTTGTGTAATTGTGTGCTAATTTTGTGTGAATTTGTTTTGTGGAAAATAAAGGTGTTGTTTCGTTTTTTGTTCGTAGAAATGGTCCTCCAGCGTAATGGGGTTTTAACTGATCAAAGATTACGCAGTTCAAGACGTTTTTGTTTCGTATCGACACTTATTTTTTGTATATAAAAACTAGAGTGTGAGGATTCTTACCCCACTAAAACTACCCTGAGCATCTGTAAGGGCCCAGAAAAAATATGGAAACCCTAAAAACAGAAAGAAGTTGCCTAAAATTATTAAGGTCTCGAGTGTGATTTCCAGGTGAAGTAAGTTTTTTCAGTTTATTAATATCAGTTACATTTTATAACACTAAGCGCCGGTTTCACCACCTCCATATTATATGTAAGTACCTGATAAACTTATGTCACAGATAGTTCATATAAATTACGTTCTTAATTCGAATTTATCTAAACCTCATGATCTAACTAGACGACAACTGTATTACAAGATATAACCCAAATCTGCCCATACACAGAAAATTTCCAAAAAAATAAAAATTTTATCGCTGTTCGCGCACGACTAAAGGCTGACAAAAGCAAATTGCTGAACCTAGATCATAATCTCAGACTGAAATCAGTTTCTGACATGAATCTAAGTAAATTAGTTTTTTCCGCCTTCCGTTTCCCCCTAAGCAGTTTTATGTCAGTCATTCTGCTTTTTTTATCTTTTGACTGTGTTGCCCTACTTTCTGTTTAGTCTGTGGCTACGTTACACATTTTACGTTCGCTCTAAGTGTAAAGTTTTGCACCTTTTTTATATTTTCGTGGCAAGTTGTGACGGCGATTGTTGCTTGGGATTTGACTATTTACGAGTAACCGTTATTGTTGTTTATTTTTTGTGTATTTGGAGTTAAGAAGAAGGAATTATAGGTATGATTTTGATGTAAATCTTTAACTTTTTAATGAATAACTGTGAGATGAAGTGTGAAAAAAATCTATTTTATTTGTCACTTTTGGTAAAATTAATTATTGAGATCTTTTAAGTTCATGCTTGCAATACGTTTTTGAACATTGACGTGGGTACTTTTCAATGCCACGATTTCCTTCAAATTTTCAAGAAAAGAGTGTATTCCTTTTTAAAAGGCCGACAACGCACTGTGACTCCTCTGGTGTTGCGCGCGTTCATGGGCGGCGCTGATCGCTTACCATCAGGTGATATGTTTGCTCGTTTGCCTCCTATTCCATGACAGGCCGAAGAAATATTCAATTTTCGCTTGAAGCCAAAAATCTAGATTCATATTTAGTACCACAGCTGTAGGCTCTATTAACAAATACTGAAAATAAGTACCTTCTACAAAGTTATGCCTCTTCGAAGGAAAACCATAAGCCTATGTTTTATAGTCAGCCATATTTCTTCTAGACAAAGAAGCAATTATATTTAACGATCTATGCTTAATTACATACTTGAACATAGCCTCGTGGAACACTTAGAAAGACGTTAACTCTGTACATAAAACGAATGACCATACCGTATTACCATATACATGCCTAATTATGACGATCAATGTACACAAAAATCTTTTGTCGCTTTGTAGGGAAGTAGACCATTACAATATTACCATATGACCATCAATCTAAAAGAGTTCTTCGTGGCTTTGTAGAAGGGAAGTAATAC